AATTGAATCTTGGCCATACATATAATATTAGCCATATCTGTATGCACTGAAAAATTACTTAAATGGATATGAAATGCAAAGTTAAGAGTAAATTTTGATAAATTAAAGGGAAAAAGTACGAAGAGAAATAGACTATCTTGAAATACCATCTTGAAATAGTTAAATTGATGAAGATCAATTCATGTATCATAGGTAGATTTTATTTTTATGTGCTTTTTTTCAAAAGAAAAAATTTATATTCAATTCTGCTTGAAGTCAGAATATTTGGAATATGATTTTAAATAGTTACATAAATAATATTTTTCCACAAAATGCTACAACGATTATTTTATTCCATAGAGTTAGCCTATGCTGGAAAAAAATAATTGTCGTAAGTAACCCAATATCATCTTAACAAATGCTGTTACTATTATCATTATTAATCGGATTTTGACAAGAGAACGGATTTGATAGTATCATAATTAATTTCTGTAAAAAATTTCAATATAATATATTTGAAATTGAAATTTAGAAAAAGATAAATTTACCCGGACAGAACACCAAGGACCAAATTGAGCATGAAAAAAGAACCAAGAACAATTAGAGGTATAAAATATGCCCAATTGTATGTACTACCAAGTGAATCATTCGTCTGAAAATAAATAATCCTTTGATTAAGTTATCTTTTAATTTGTTAAATACATCGATTTCAAATGAATTAAAATCATAATTAAAAACTTCAAAGCGACCATCTGAATGATTTTAAACGAAATTAAGTGAAATTTTTATTTGTCGATTTAGAAGTTCATTGTATTAATTTATTTTTTCAAATGCATTAATATTTGTTTGAAATAAATGTTTAATATTTGTTTGAAATAAATGTTGCAAAATATAACAAGCATTGAAAATGTTGCGTAATAGTATGACAATCATTTTCGTCATTTACTTCATGAAATTAAAAAAATTAATGCTAAGGCACAGAAAAATGTGAGATACTGCGTAGATATTATTTTATTTTGCAATTCAATCTAAGATAAAATCAAAATTAATTTGGAGTTTTCGAGGTAATAATTGATGAAATTATCGTGAAGTATCAATCTGCTAACAATTTTTCATATTAAACGCATGAATTAAATTTGGAAAAAAATGTACCAAAAACTGTCCAAAATTAGAGAGGAAGAAATTTTTCTACATAATTTTTGAATATTTAAAATGACTGTTGACCTTTGCAATTAAATGAAGCGTTAACTTTCTGGAAATTCATTAAAAAAATAGACATGTATTAATATTAAATCCAAAACATTCCGATGATTTAGGATAAAAAACATAAATAGCCTACATAATACATCACAGTGGTCCATCCTTCCATAGTAATACATTGGAATACAGTAATCATAGCAAATGCAATATTATCAAATGAAGTTATACCATAGTTCGGTCCAATCCATTGAGTAAGGCATACTGTACCCTTTACCTCACAGTTATATGCACCCGTTGCTGCTGATTTATTCGAGCTATAATTAGCATTTTATTCAGATTCGAAGAAGGAGATTAAAAGGAAGTGTCAAAATATATGCAGAATTCATTGATATATCAATTTTACTTATCCATTTACATTATTAATTAAATTATTTGGAAAAAAGTTTTTTTAATAATGATTGAATTATCTACTTAATTGATACTTTTGCTTTACAAATGATAAAAATTAAATTCAACAAAATTATATAAAATTTTTTCGCAAAAACTAACCATGGAAATGGACGATCACTGAGATTTTCAATTTCACCATAAGCATTGTAACATGCAGAATGGAATATACCGGAATAAAATTCTAATCCAATAATTGCAAATATGACGATAGCAAAGAGAACCAATAAACCAATTTGTAACAATGGTGCCATTGCATACAGTATCGATTTTAATACTACTTGCAAGCCTGTAAAAATTTAACAACATTTTGCTAGCTTTAAATGCCATTCAAAAAAAAGACCAAATATTAAAAATTAAAATTTTAGACGTTAAAAAAACAAAATAGAAATTAAAAGATAAGACCGAAATTTTAGTATTGGATAAAAATTATGTCTAAAAAATTTATATAATGATTAAAATTGTGTTGAATTTAAAATTATGCTTAAAATTTTTGAAATTATATACAAAGTGAATGGAAATTACATCATTCGATAATTGTTTCTTTAAGGAGACAAAAATGCATATTTCCTTATTGTTCTTGAATTAGAATTGAATCATTCAAGATTGTAGCAGATAGGAGGACTGTGAAATGTATTTACTTGGTATGCCGGAGACAAGTTTGAGTGGCCTGAGGACACGAACAGCTCGAAGTGTCCTTAAATCGATCGAACCTCGTCCTTCTCCATCCGACGATGTAAAAGGCATCATTGTTACAACACTGAAACTTTATCAGGTATTAATGGCGAAAATTTTGAAGCATTTTACTAAAATAATAAATGTACTACATAGAACGATACAGTAATTAATAATACGGGTGTACTATTCTTCATCTTTTTCCTTCCCAAGCTTTTTCATAATAACATTTTTTTTAAGATTATGAAAAGGAAATAAATTATAAAATCTTTGAACTGTAGCAAATACTTATATAATTTAAAATTTACCCTGAGGCAACAACAATAAAATCCATAATATTCCATCCTGAGCGAAGATATGATCCCTTATGGAGAACAAATCCAAATGCTATCACTTTTAACAAAAATTCAAAGCAAAAAATGCCCATGAAATACGGTTCCGTATACTCCTGCAGGAAAAAATGAAATAAAAATTGAACTAGTAAGGTAAAACTATCAGATGTAAAATTACTCAAATTATTATCTGTGGTAGTAAAACTATCAGTGATAATAATTGGAGTAATTTTAAATTTTATTAAACGATAAATAATTCGGTCATTTGAAAAGTAAATGATCTTTTCTCCAATCACATCCGGCGGGTTTAATATAAAATTTAATGTTTATCACGTTATGCACATAATGGTAAAAATATTCTGAGGTAAAAATCATTTAAGTGGTAGAAATTTCAAGTTGAAATAATCAAAATTACAAGAGTGATTGAAATTTATTGGTTATTGAATTCATATTTTAAAGCTAAGGGAATAATTTATATTTAGGTATGTAATAGAAATATTGCTGCTATATGACTGAAATTTTACTATTTTTTTGTTTACAATTACTGATTACACAAAAAAATGAAAAATCAAAAAAATGCGATGAAAAGAAAAAATGAAATGTTAAAGTGCTAAAGAAATTATTTTTGCTTTATTGACCAAAAAAATTTTACCTGTGTAATTTTACCTCATTCGTTTCATTTTTTCGTTTCTTAGTGGAACGAAAATTATTTAAATAAAAAGAATACAAATTTTCATTCGTTTTTCTCCCCTTCTTCTTCATTTTCTTTTTTTTTTATTTGACAAATTTATTTTTAATCTTAGAATGATACATTTCTAACAAATAAATATATTTTCCATAGAATTTTACAACGAATTAAACATTATTTTTTTTGTTTTGTTTGATATTTATTTGAAATAATTGAAATGAAAAAGTCTGTTCTATTTGTGTGTCAAAAATTTTTTAATTAAAAGTCGAATGCTAACTTTTAAAAATTTTTCTTTTTTGTATTGGAAATATGAATTTTTTCCTCCTTCCGCTTTTTTTCGTTTTTCAATGATAAAAAGCCATTAAAGTAATAGTAGCATTAGAACAATTTCTCTAAAAATTCTATAGAAATGAAAAAAAAGGGAATTTTTAGAAATGTGAAGAAAAATAAAATTTCTAAATATAGGAGAAAAGATGAAATTTTTTAAAAAAATATTGAAAATGGCTAATGAATATCAACAACATACAACGGATGTTAAAAAGCATGAATAAAATTTGACAGCAATCCATGGGATGGTATACTTTGTTTCAAAGAAATATGTAATTTTTTAAATATGCAAATAAATAAATATGATTGATAAAATTATTTGCATATCTAAAATAATCACTAATTGCTTTCAATCTTTATAATTTTGAAATTTTCTGATCTAATTGGCAGATGTATGAAATGAATATGTAATTAAATGATAGGCAGTTCAATAAATTTATTTCTTAATGATTGCTGTGGATTTAAGCAAAATTATATGCAATTAATTTCATAAAGATTATGTGAAGAACCCTGTTTTCCACAATATCAAAATATAAAATTAACAAATTTAAAGTGTTTTTTCAATTCAATTTCTGTAATATTGCAATTGTTACAGCAGCTTTTCCATTTTCTGTAGCAAACACTTAAGAGTGAATGCTAAAATTACAAAATCAAAATTTGCTTAAGGAAAGTTTTAACAGTGGTAGCACTATATCACCAATAACTACTCCTCTCTACACCTCTTTCTCTCTTTCTCTTCTCCTTCTCTCTCTCTCTCTTTTTCATCCAATTTTATTTTGTAATAACGTCTACTTTGATATGGCCAAAAATTGTAAAAATGTGTAGAAAAATGAAACAAAATTACAATCTTTAAAAAACTTATGAACTGTTTCAAATAAAATAAATTTCATATTCTGAAATATGACGTTTTTCTTCAGAATTTTTCGCAACTAAACTCTATTTTATTACTTAAGCTTTTTTATCTTAAAAAAAGTCATAGCTTTCATTTATACTTGAAATAAAATTATTTCATTTAAACGTGAAATAAAATTATTTAATTCAAGCAATTTCATCATGATTTTATATGTATTCCATCGAAAATTAAAAATGATTAGTTTTATTTCACGTTTAATTTCATCTATAAATTTATATTTTCAATTCATGGAAATGTTTTGTTTGCTTTTCATTTTTTTTTTACTTTGCTTGCAATCAATCACATCGTTAATTTATTGGTGACTACTACTTTATGCTCTTTGCACCATAAGTAATTAATTATGTTTACCGCTTGTTTTTTAATTTCTTTTCCTCACTTCTTTTCTTTTCCTTCCTTGCAAGATTTATGGACTATTATAGTTCTAAATATGAAATTTGTTTAGTTTGCTTTCCTCGAACAATCACATAAAGCAGTATCACTATAAACTCATCAAATTAAACATTTTATTTAGATAAATCATGAAGAAAAATGGAATTAAATTAATTCATTGATTAGTTTCAAATTAGCCTAAAAATGAATCGAAATCAAGTTTGAATTTATTTTTTTCACTTTCCTTTATAATGTTTTGTTTTAAAATCGATGATTAAAGTAATTGTGCAAAATAAATAATAAATTAGATGAAATTATGATTTTTGATAGCTTCTCTCTATTTCTTTATTTTCTTTTTACTTTTCGTCTTATATTGATCTTCCGTTCCTTTAGCACTTTTTCTTTGTTTTAAAAATTCAATAAAAATTTGTTGCAAAATGTGAAATTACTAAAACGAGAATGATATTAATATGATGTAATAATAAATGACGTGTCACGTGAAAAAAACTACGTTATAAAAAGATCAATTTATCAGGCATCGAAATTATTTCATACAACACAGTTGTGTGCTATTTTACAGCTGATATGCATATTTGGAAAGTGCTTGAAAAACTATTTCTTTTACATATTTTAAAGCATTTTTAAAATATGCATATCAAATCAATAGATTCTAAAGACTTTCTTTCCGTCTGCTCCTCTACCTCTCTCTCTTTTTCCTTCTTAAAACTTCTATGCTAATGGGAGCAGATGTGCTTGTAATTTCTGATGCACATTGATGTTTATTTTGAACAATTTTCCATTTTCGTCAACAAATCTCTAAATCCTCCCTTTTGTCAATATTTTCAATCTTTCGAAGCAATAATCATTTTGCTTAGAGATTCCCGAGAGAATAAAATTTTTCTCGAATTTTTTTCTTTTTTTAAGAATATACGGTATGCTAGAATGATAAACTTTTGGCATCATCAAAACATATTGCAAAAGAGAAATTTTGAAAATAAAATGTTTTTTCGCAGTTTAAATTTTTGAAAAAAAGAATGTAATAAGAATACTAAAATTTTGGTAAAAATCTGCTAGAAAAATAAACGAAAATTTTAATATACAGTAAGCGTATATTTTGTTCCAAAAAATTTAAAAAAAAAAAATCAAAAAATAAACGAAACATGCAATAGTCACCGTTTAGTAGAAATCCATAGTAATATGCAGGAATTTTGATATTTTTCATAGAATCAAAAATTCTCGATAATTTTTTTTTTGAAAAGAAGAGAGAAAATAAATTAAGATTTGACGAAATATTAAATTTAAGCGAAAAGATGAAATGAATATTTATCGGTGTGGAAGAGAGCAAAAGTAATTTACGTCGAACTTTTTTGTCATCCTTTCAAATCATTCTCATAAGAAATATTGATTATCCGATTAAAGGATTTAGTTGCATAAATGACGAGTATCATTAGAATTTTAATTAAATTTTTATTTAACATATTTAATTTTTTGGCTAAGGTATTACTATAAATTTGTAAAAACTATAATAAATATAGGTATTGCATTATTGAAACTTATTGTTGTTATATTATTGAAACTTATATAAAATTAATCACACATATATAATGTGCTAAAGTTGTTGCTAAATATTCATTTTTTCAAAAGAAAAAAATAAAACGAAAAAAAAATGCTACAACAGGCTGCTTTATATTTTTAATATTTCAAATTTCTTTCAAGCTGTCGCATATCACATCTGTTTTCCTCCATTAAACGAACGAGTAAAATTATTGCTTATATTATCTTACAGATATTTTTCTCTAATTTACATCAGATAATAATTAAAGTAATTTTTTTCTTTTTTGCAACATTTTTTTCCCATTAATGTTTTAAGAATTAAACAACAGTAATTAGGCCATGACATTTATTTCATCGTTAAAGCTAAATAAAAAGTTATTATTGTGAAATTAATAATTAATTAATCCAAAAAACTAATCCCCAATCCTATAAATTCTTTCATTTAGTTATCAAAATTAATGAAATGGATTAGAAGTAAATAAATGAATATATACGAGAAATGGGATATTAGTTTTTTGGATCAATTAATGATTTATTTCGTAATAATAGCGTTTAATTTAGCACTTTGTATAATTAATGAGAATGAATGAGAAAAAAAAAAACGAAAAAAGTAATTATTTAAATTATTGTTTGATGTATATAAGAAAAATGAAAAATTTGAAGAATTAAAACAAGTAAGGCAGAAGAGAAAGATAGAGAGGAATATTTACTGTTAAAATAGAAGGTATTACTATAAATAGCTAAAATTATTTACTTACCTAAGAAGATCGGTTCTTTTCATCATATGTATTGATATGGTAAGAATTTTCTTCACATAACAGAATGATAGGAAATGTTTTACTTTCTCTCTCTCTATCATTTTAATTTATCTTTTAATCATACATTCAATTCATGGAATGAAAAAAAGAAATTAGATAAAACAACAAAATTATTCGAAGCAATTTGTTCTATTCTTATGTTTTGTATTAAAAATTTGTTATTGATCAGAAAAAATCATATATTAAAATTCTCCCTTTTTTTCTTGTCAAGTAACTATGAAAAATAATTGAAATTATATGAAATACGAAAAAAAACGAGAACAAAAGGTGAACTGTCACGTAAATTAATTAGTTGAATTATATCAGTAATTCACTCCTAATTGCAATGCTTTTTCTTTTCTTAAAAATAAGAAAATGCGAACAAAAGAAAAATATCATAAAAAATGTGTTATTTGAAAAAAAAAATTCAATCAATATAATATATTC